TTTCATATAGCGTGTTAAACTGTCGACTTATAGAAGGAAAGATATGGCGTTATTCCCCAAAATGTCTCAACGATTGACAATGATATTTAAAGCCTCTATAACTTGGGTTACGTGAAGTTATGGGATTATGCGATCAAACCAAAAACTATAAACGTTTTGGAAAATACCATTCGTCGAACCATTGCTGAGTTGCGGCCCGCATTACCTGAAATAGTTATCAAATATTGGAATTGTAGAATGTGAGCCATGCCCGAAATTATATTGAAACACTTACGTATGTATGTATGTAAGTATTTCTTCAAATTAACTTTATATTAAGTAAGTTCTCGAGTTTGCATTCTATTTCAATTAAAAGTTCCCAGCCTCTTTTTTTAGTTCTTTTGAACACCCTTTTTTATCACCAAAACCCCTAAAGGCCAGTATTCAGCACTAAAGAAAAGCAAAAACTCCATAAAAAATGACGTACAAGAAATGGCTAAGAAGAAGAATTTCCTGAAGGCAGTAATAATGGCAATTTTGAATTCTTGACCTTTTTCTTGAGAGCTGCATACTGGCCATAAAATAGAAGTAATGGATATTATATACAGTAAACACATTGAGTCTACATTCAATCAAGGCCAATATTTGCAGTGACCACACGTAGATTTCAAATGGAAGGAATGCTTTTTACACACTCCATCGAACAAATACTTACTCGTATTTATACACATATTATTTTTTAATTAATACTATAAAATGAGTAAATATAGAACGGAAGATGTATAGAATTACAGTAATCACATATGTATGTACATATGTATATGTATGTATATGTAGACAATAATTGATTTCTGTCAGCAGCGAAAAACAAAGGATGAATGGAAATCAAATAAGGCACTAGGGGCATTTCTGCAAAAAAAAAAGCTTATGATAACATTTAGAAGATAAATGAACTGATGAGCAACAAAAGCAGCTACACCCTATTGTAAATGTATAAATAGAATAATGATTTATGTATTAAGCGGGCAATAAAATAGGTGAAGGAGTGTATTCAAAATTTTAAATTCAAATGCACTTTAATTATATATTAATCAACTTTCTAATTTATTTTTGCTTTACAAAAAATTCCTATTTTCTATTTCAGGGCTGCTTAAAATTTTTATATTGATGTGCAAATCACAATGCATCTACAAAATTTATGTGTACAGAGAGAATTTTTTGTAATTGAATTGAAGTTGAAAACTACAAGTTTATTTTTATTGTACGATTAGTAAATGACAATTTTTAACAATGGGAGTATTTTTATGTCGAATAATACAGTGCGTTAAGAAATGATATTTAGACACATAGTTGCTGAAAAATCCCAAAATTTCGTGAAATGAGTACTGGCACATATTTACATCATATTGCAAGCTAAAATTTTACATTTTCATTCAGATTGGCAAACAATCATTTTCTACGTCCTTTTTGAAATTTGCCAAAAAGTTTTGCTGACAAGTTACAAAAGGCGTTGCGAATAATATTTCTTATTTCGTTTAATATTTAAAACGTACAACATACCCTTAAGTTCATACTTGGATTTTTGAAAAAAAAACTCCCACTCTTTATTGAACGCCATAGTAAACTCTTTCACTATATACATAGCTATATTAAATCATTTTTAAATATAACTTTTTTCCGCGCTGTCATATTTTTTCTTTGTTTCATTGTATATTTGTTAGCGAAAATTTGTACATCTTACTGGAATGCGTGAGTTTCATATGGGAGGGTTTTTGCTTTGCTCTTCCATATGAAACCCAGGCACTTTCATATGAATTGTGTTTATGTATAGGTCAGGGCATACAGTAGTACGATATTTTTTTTTTAATGTTGAAAATTAAAATCTCATTCTTTCATAGCTCAATAGCACAATCGTATTTTCTTAAAAATGTCAGAAATGGCTTAAAATATGGTGAATCCATTATTATGAGCGATTTTGCAGAGAACTATGCATTTATTGTTCAAAACGTAGCTCAATCATTTCACTAGAACCATCAATGCACTATATTTACTGTGGTAATTTTTTGGAATAAAGCTATTTTTACAATAAATATAATTACACAAATCTAATACATCCCGAAAAGGATTTTGGTAT